TGGTCCAAACAGAACTGAGTATTTGAGTATACTCCTGGTGAGCAACAAATTTGAAACACTTTTTATTCTGAGGAAAACCAGTTTCAAGATAGCAAGAACGTGGAAAATAAAAAAAAAATTGAAAATCGGCCGATCGGTTTCAACTATTTTGTTGCTGTTACTCAAGGTGTATTCATGTTTACTCTTGGTGAGTAACAAATTCAGAACATCTTCATTTCCAGAAAAAAACAGTTTCGAAATAGCAAGATCATAAAAAATAAAAAAAAAATATTTAAAAATGTTTCGCTATATACAAGGTTTAGCAACTAAATAGCAACTGAATATTCTGTAACGATCAAAGGGAAACTATATAATTTATTGAGTTAACCTGCTACCTTGATATCACGATAGCATTATTTGCGATTTCTAGGAATCGACACGAGCAACAAAATCGTTGGTTTGGCAACTAATTAGCTACAAATTGATGTATTTTTTTGCAATTTTGCTGGATTTGCCTTGCTAGCCTGATAGGGCTGATTTTTTTGATTTCTTCCTGACGTTTCGTTGGTTAGAGTCGTTAATTTTCTCAGAGGTTTATTCATCCTGAAATAATATATCCGATGACGGAGTTGTTTTCAATAATTTGCACACTAGAATCGATACTCACCCAAAATATCTTGTTGTGGCAACCATTTTCCAAGTTTTACATTCGCTGGTAAATCGGACATATTGTCAGCAGCTTCGTATTTCCATAATACCCTTTGAGGTAGGCTCCTAAAGACCATCATGAGCATTTTTCTCAAGTAGATGGGCATGTTGGCAGCCTTCACTGAGGACCCCATGCTGAAGTAAATGAATCCTGCTTCACCCGAACCCCTGATGAACTCTTCAAGGTCCTTCATAAAAAAACATAGTATTGACAAAAAATAATGGCATTCTAACAATCGTAACTTCGATAATCAGTTGATGAAGACGACGATAATGTAAGATTCACTTTGAATTCATAATGATTGAGGTAAAAATGAAAAAAAGAAACGTATCGTACTAGTACTTTGGAAATCGAACAAGGTTTAGTTGAAGAAGTATCATTTTCATATAAAAATATTTGTGTGACGTTACTCGTAACAAAAAGGATAACTATTTTCTTATAAAAAAAGGAGACTCAATTGAAACTCCATAGATTTCATTGATGTTACTGATGTAGTGCAACAGAAGTATTCCGGCCCTAGTATTATCTAGTTGCCTACTTATAGCGGAATCTGCAGTAAGAGTTAGAAAACAATCGATGTTTGAGATTGGCTTCACAACATATTAATTTTGACAATACATTTGCTGCATAAGTTACAGCAGCGGATCCATTTGTTGATTTCGATGCTAATATAACTTTTAATTGGTATTGCTCTTAGTATTCTTCACTTTCATCACATTGATAAAATCCAAAAAAAATACCAATAGCTGAATCTTTCATATAATTCTTTCCCTCAAAGTTTTAATGGAAGCTCATTTGTGACACACTATATGCTGTAGTCAGTTACAAATCTCAATAGACAAACACCAAAGAGTAAAATAAAAAGTCAAATAAGCATTTTCGCAATTTATATTTGCGCATCATATAGTATATAAGAATGAATATAAATAAAAATAAACTCTGAAAGCAACAAATAAAAACCAAGTTCCCAGAAAACTGTTTCTCGTATGACAGAAACTAACAAGATGATTTATTTTCTTCCCTGGTCCTCCTCTGCTTTGCGTGGCGAAGCCAATCTTTTGTCAATATCTCGAACTCTTTCAACGTCAATTCAAATCTTTGACAAATTGCACCTGAAATCAAAAACCCAGCTTAAAATCAAATGATATGTTTCATAATGCTTCTATTGAAACCTTATGAATTTTATAAATGAAACTGAATAGAATTTAACAACGAAAAACTAAAATAAAATGTTTTGACAAATACCATCCTTGTGGAATATATTATAATATATCAATAAAAGTGATGTAAATGGCTGCTTGATGAAAATTGATCATAACGTATTCAATTAACAATTAATTGTTTGATTTTCACTTATCAGTTCACAGAACGGCGACACGTGTTTCACTATACAATAGTTTCTTCAGACATGCTCAATACTCAAATCACACAATAAAGCGTTATTTCAAATACGTTGTTATAGTTTGACAATTGTTTTGAAAAAGAAAAAAGGTTAACAATGGGAATATCATATTGATACCCCATATTCTAATCTGCTGCGTACATAACAGTTGAACAGTAATGTAAGAGTAGATGGATCTGAAAACTCCCTACTATTCTTCAATATGAAGCCTAACATTTCATTANAGCGCCAACGAGTTGGTCATCAGTTTTCCCATAGCTTTGCTGTGGAAGTCTTTGGCAGTCAAACCTCCGATGGTCAAAAAATACTTCGTCTGAAAATGTTTGGATGAATAATTATGAATATTGTTAAAACTCTCTGGTGTGAATTTTTTTGTATTTTTTCTGGGAATTGTAACCTTTGAAACGTCAACAAACATAAATATTTCAGCTTACAATTTCCGGAGAAAGAATTTTTTACAATTTTCAAGTATGCAGTCAATAAGGGGATGGTAAAATAAGTGAACTCTTTTTTCTGTTCTAGCTTTTGAGTTTTTATTGGCTCTTCACCAGGAACTCTACAATGAATTGATAATTGATTGTAATATTTATTTAAGATATTGTGAAATGTGTTGCACTTACGAAAGTGAGGACTGTCTGCACTGCACTGTCTGTGTATTTTATTCTCTTGAAACCTAAACTCTGGCTGGGGTATGTCGATGACATCTTCGTGATTTGGCCTCATCGACACTAGGAACTTTCAAAGTTTTTTAATCACTTGAACGGAATCCATCCAGGGATCAAATTCACGAAAGAAGTTGAACAGAGTAATCAGTTCGCATTTCTTGATGTATAGATTATGAAAAAGTCGAACGGTACACTAGGCCACACGGTATATCGAAAACCAACACACACGAATAGGTACCTGAATGCAAATTCTCACCATCACCCAAAACAAATTCACGCGGTGGCAAAAACACTAATTACACATTCGAGGAGGCTGGCAGATAACGATCACAGACAACTAGAGTTGAACACCATCGAAACAACTCCAGGAATGAATAACAACTCGGAAAAATGTATAAAAGCAGCTTCCAAGACCACAAGGAAACAGCATAAAACTTGAGTTACACCGGTCATAACAACTACTCTACAGGACCAACAGACCAGTAGTGGCACTTCAAGTTTTGCAACAATACCATTTCATAGAAATAGGTTCATTGAGATTAGTTGGACAAGTTAACAACAACAGGCATCTATGAGAGCGTGGAAATAAGTGAATATTATAATAATATGATTGACGATGTTGGACCAGTACCCGATAGTATACTATATAGCTTGTTGAAATAATACTTCAGTTATCAGATTTGCCTCTGATAAGAATCCGGTGAGTGTGCAAGCACCCGCTACCAATAAAATATCGGCCGATTTTATACTGGCCGTCCAAAATCGGTGTGTGTGCAACTAGCGTTACTTGGAAGTGAAATAAAGATTTTGTCTGGTGCAGTTACCAAAGAATTCTTGTATTTAGGAACGATGCAATTCTTTTTTATCATTATTCATATTCACGCAGTTGACACACTGCAGTAAACAACACACAACTTGCTTTCTACTGCTTTAGCACACGTATTTCGCTTATCCGCCAGCACTCCCTTGTCGCCGAGTCGACTGATGTGACGTCAAGCTTGACCACGCCCCGTTTTGGTGAACGCCACATTGACTATTAATTTGAGGGGGAAGATAAAAAGTGTAAATTCAGATTTTTTACAAATGTACGATTTGAAACATAAACGTTCAAATAATGAAATTAAAAAATAAGTTAAATGAGCCCATTGATTTATGTTGACTATTTAGATTAGGAATCACACAGGTAAGATTCGACTTCTGAGATTTATCGTTCGTAGGGGTGCCTCAGCTGGTTAACGGAAAAAACATATTTCATATTTGACCATATGACTAGAATTCTCTGGCATGGTATGGGATACGAAACTTACTTGTGGTAATGACTTTGCCCTCTTACAATGAATACAGGCTATTTCAGCCACATTAGGAAGATACGGCCTTGGATATGTCATTGTAGCATGTCCATTTTGCAGAATAAAGCTGACGTTTTTTGACAGTTCGTAAATTGGTGGCGTGTCACTTCCAAAATGTTTCCTGACGATATCCTGCATTGTCCATCGCACCTGTCATGTAAAATATATTAAACGATTTCATGCACAGTAGTCAACTTATTCGGGTTAGTGATGAATAATATTTTAAGGAAGAGTCACCTATAAAATTCAGGAATATTTCGTTAAAAAAATGAACAACGAGTACTGTTCAAGTACATCCTCTGTGAAAGACCTGAAAACATTATTTCAAAATTGTGTTTAGAATTCTTGAATGATAAATATTGAAAGGAAGAAGTTTAAAAGTAGCACTTCAAAGTTTTTTATTATATTAGAACTGACTTATTTCATAGTGTTGGGAATATAAATAAAATTCAAATTGAGTTTTCTAAACACTGTTACGTTACTGTGTAATTGTCTATGTCTGGTTGTCAAGGGATACCAACCTACCATAGGGAACCAATAGTGTGGGTCCTTTTTTCTTTACCTCTCGTTGAAAGAGTACCTTCGTTCACACGGTTTCAATATACGGTAAGAAAGGTCAAGTTAAATACGAAGTGTTAGTTTATTGCGAAGAATATCCAAGGTTCTCATTTGTATAATCTTAGTGATAGTGTGTCTCACATCAAATTAAACGGATCAAACCAATTGTCGTATTCGACATTCTGTGGAATCTGTAAACTAGGTGTGACAGAATAAAGTGTGTTAAGTCATTATCTACGTCGCATTATTTTATAGTATACAGTCCACTGCAAGGGGGCCAGCAAGCCCAAAAACCAAAATTGGTACCCAACACATAGATTGAAATATCATACCAGTTGATAATGTTCACCTGGAGTTTCTGACAAATGTTGGCCTTTTCTGTATAGTTGGTGTTCCAACATCTTTAAAGTCCTTGGTTTTTGCCGAATATGAAATAAAATAATTTTTATATCTTTCACATGCAATTATTGTACGCCTGATAATGAAAAACAAAATGAAAACTTGGACGTAGTGAATATCAACAGTCTTACCTTTCACGCAAGAATAGCATAAAAGCTGACGTAGGAATTGAATATTTGGCGAATCAGATCAAATCAACTTCGGAGGTGCCAGGCTTCTTAAAAACTATAGGCAATAGAAAAGTAAATAGATGTGCTAGACATGGACTATCAACTTCTCATAGGAGAATTGATCCAACTGTGGAAGTACATAATTTGAGACCAGATCATAAAATAACACAATGAGTATTTGGAGTGTACAACCGGGTATACTTTCTTATTGGTCAGTGGGCTATGCTTGAAGACTGGCCGTAAACAAATCTAAAGTAAATGGAACTTCAAACGTTCAAGCCAGTCTCTATATACCTACACAGTAGGTTTAATGGACTGACGCCTATCAGAAAATAACTACTCCCCTGGCTAATAACACGAAGGGCGTTGGATTATATCCGACAGGCGTCAGTGCAGGAATTTTCACAGAAAATGTCCTGCATATGCAATTGGCAATACAACTGAAAGAGTCGACCTTCAATTATGGAACGGGCACACTTGCAGACCGGTTTCGGGCTTATTAGCCACTCATCAGTGCAAGATAGTGACCATCATCGACCTAAAGTCAATGATATTCCACAATTGAAAATCGGAATTCCTTCAGAGTATTTCATTCCTCTTCCAACGTTGAAGCGAACATCACAAAATGTCGCTCCATCTAGTGGACGAGGTACTAACCAACTGCATATCCGTATTTTGCCCGATTCCTCTGAATAAGGAAGAAAAACTTTCTTATTAGTCAGTGGGCTATTCTTGAAGACTGGCCGTAAACAAACCGGGTATACATTAGGCTGCTCCAGGAAAACAAGGGATCGGCCTCAGACTAATTACAAGTTTAACCACTCGAAACTGAACATTGAGAGTAACTTAATTAAAATTGGGCTAGAACAATTTCTAACAGAGTACACTTACAAATTGGGGAAGGAAATAAATTCAAAGGAATCGGTGTCATGGAAAGATGAAAAAAATGCAATTCGGGTCCTAGCATGGATCAGTATTCACAATAGCGAGATTTCCTGAGCAAAGTTCACGACGTACATAATAATGTCCACATTTCTACAAGTCGAGAGTGACTGAATGAAGTTCATTTGCCAACCGGCTACCGTCTGAAAGGTATGTGTTCGAAAACAGTAGTTTTAGAATTGTCAACATCTTCACCTGAAATTTTGAAGCCAGTGTTCTCTCATGCCAGGCCTATAGTTTCGTAAGAACTTTCATACGAATACGTAAACGATGATTTTAAGGAGATTTCAACGGGTAGTTATAATTTGAGATTCAAGTTAAGGAAGCTGGCACTTCTTTTCGATTACAGCATATCGGCTACCTTTAAAAAAGTGGTGGTCGACATGAATTAGATGCGAAGGACCAATCTTGTATTGCAGGAAACGGTTCACATTATGAATACGTGGAGAAATATTTAATATTCATCAAAAACTATCAGTTATGAAGTTGAATATTTGTGTTATTCTAACACGTGTAATATGTTTCAGAAGATACTGACATATTCTTCTCATTATTAAGCTGTGTCAAAAATGTGTGAGAAAAATGTGATTGATGAATGGCAAGTTTTCGAAATTCAATGATGATACAACATTAACGAAATTAAATGTAAATAACATTATGAATAATAATGGTGGACCAAATACCTAATCGTATACTATAAACCTTGTTGAAATAATATTTCAATTATCATATATACCTGACTATTACATAAGGACACTTTGTAAAATCAATTTAAGACTAGTAGATAAGGCAATATTGTGAAATTAATTTAACACACTCAAGAGGCTGGTACCTAGAAGAGATATCTATGGTATAAATAAGGACAACATTGTAAATATATTTAATTCAATCTTCCTCTTGAAGATGATCACTTGGTGATCGAAATACGTGTCGAGGTATTGAAATAACGAATTTGTGTTTGGAAAAATCTCCAGTAATATTCGGAAATAGTAGTTAATGCGCTAAATACAACAGGAAAACAACCAGAGCACCAACTCGGGTATTGTGACCGTTAGCACATCGCCATTGAAGATCTCTACCGCAGCAGTAGACGACACGTTAGGCATAAAAACCTGCAGACCACGGCCAGAAACCCAAAAAATGACCTTCATAAAGTTATCTCCGACGGTGAAAATTAATATTATTCAATGAACCGTTCGCAATGGAGTTTATTGAATGAGTTATCGTGAATGTTTTTGAAATATCATCATGTTTTTCACTATTGATGCAAAACTTGAGTGTTTATAATTTGTATTGAAATAAACATTGTTTCTTTCACCCCCTCAGCGGAATGGGTTCCATTCCTTAAATCTTAAGAAGAACACCTTTGCTTTGAACCTTTGACCCCATAAAGATGTGGTAATGAAAATCGAAATTTCACTAATTAACTTTTCATTTTGGAAATTGTTCAAAATGCAGTACTGCAGTACTTGTTTTGTTCAAAGCATTTTCATGAGGTACAGCAATAATTTTTAACGATAATTATCTAGTAAGGCAGATTTATATTTTTGAATTGTAGAAAAACATAAAAGTCTTCTTTTTCATAGTTTATTCTCCAGAAATATCGCATGAAATACAAATAATGAATCAATAATTGCTCGACCCCCGTAATTAACCTCAATACTATTGAAAGTTCAAGTATTCTATTGCGTTTTGGTGAAGGGGTGAAAATAATAAGTTGAAAGTGTGCTTGAAATAGAAATCTAAGTGTTTGAGTGATTTCTCTTTCTAGACGTCAACTATGACCAAGCAACCTTATTTTATTTTCATGGGCCCAGTCTTTTTGAAAACATCTGATGTTTGCTCAAAATTGAAAGGTATTTCATTTGCAACTGGACTTCCACTTTACCATAAATCAATCATTAACTCTACAGGCTCAATTGATTTCGATGTTTCTTTGTTGTCTTAGATTCTACGAACAAAACTATCAGTGTGGATATAAAAAGTTCCAGATAACAGGGTCAGATGAAATTTTCATTTGCAATTATTTTCTCGTCACCGGGAAAGCAATACAATTTTTTTTTCTCCAAATGTAAAGGATATATCTCATTTGATAGATATATATTTTAACTGACCATGCTTCAATTATCAGTTCCATAGAATAATCTGCAAACAAACGATAAATATATTAATTTCAGAAGCAAATGCATATAAAATTCATTACAGTTTATTTCAGTTGTGATTCATTTCATAGATCATGAAATGTTCCTGGTGTTAACTCCATTGCAATAACCTATTTTTCCATCCACGTGGTCCGAAATGAAGTGATGAGGTTGTGTTACGTATATTATGTCACGTATCACTTTTTAAACATCTAGGGATATCGTATCAGATGATATAGTGGGCCAGTATCGTTATTCAACCGCAATTAATTATAGAGCTCATGAATCGAATGAAAGGTGATCACAATCAAATTACTACTGAAATATTCCATAATGAAAGAAATGTATTTGTAAACAAACTTCATTATTGCCAGAACGTGAATGAGTAACGTCTTCAACATTTATTGATACGAACTGGAGTTTTGATTATATTTTTCCTGAAATTTTGATATTATAATATGTCACTTGTTTGTAGATTCTCAAAACAAATATCAGAAGGGATATTATCAAACCACTTCTTATTGAGAAAAGTTAGCTTGGTATCGCCATGTTTTTACCTCTGCACTATATAAATATTCTGTTGTATGTTGCCAGATGTCACTTTCAGTGATTGTTGAGTAACTTAACGACAGCAAACCTCAAGGCACTTACCATAACAGAGTGCATAACATTTCCAGCCAGGTGCCATATTGTGTTTCTAGTTCGCTGATACAAATTCATTTCATCTGTAGCGGCATATGCCAGAAAAGGGGTTACCGAATATGGTGTTGGGTTGCCAGCCAGAGAAAGAGAGCCGGTATAGAATCCGACTGTGTTGATATACATGAAGGGGACGTTGAAATGATGTACGAATCCCAGAGCACACTCTGGAAAGGCTCCATCAAGGATAAGTAGGTCGAATTTCTTCTGCTGATAAAGAAAACCTTTTGTTTCTGGGTCAGAGAGAAAGACGTCGCAACTCTGAAAATACGATAGTATTAGTAAAACACGCTTTGGTATTGTTGGAGGGTGGGTTAATGATTTGTTAAAATGTCTGTTAAAATATATGTACATGAGAAATAGCTGGGTAATGATTCTGATGAAAATTTTTTGCCAAAAAAATTATCCTATCAAATTTGTCTATTTCTAGTCATGTGTGTCGAAATAACCAATGAAACCATCATTACACTGAAAATTTTTTGCCAAAAAAATTATCCTATCAAATTTGTCTATTTCTAGTCATGTGTGTCGAAATAACCAATGAAACCTGTTTGACATTTCAGTAATTCAATTTATTTCGAAAATGTCACTTCCTCGCTTTGGTGTTCAAAATGATGCGGCAATTGACAAAATCATTGAAGAAAATACACCAAAAAATACTGTCAATAGTAAAAAATACACTTGGAAAATATTTATGGAGTTNTTTCAACATTTCATCGTGGTACATGGTTATATTCATCGTGACTAGTTCGAAAGAGTCTTGATTATTCGCGGGTTTTTTTGTGGAAACTCCTTTCACTCACAAAATTCTTTTACTCCAACAGAATTTATGGAAATCACTACTACTGATAGAAAGATAACAGGATTATTTTCAGGAACGTAGGCTTTTAGGGTTGGCGTCAATGTTTTGATTGGCTTCCGGGTTTTTGCCGTGGTCTTCTTTCGTTATTATCCCCAAACATTTCAACTGCAACTGTGGCAGTCATATTCAGTGGCGTAGTCAAAGTACTCTTCTGGACGTTTCAGTTGATACGTCAAGAGTACTGCGACCATGCCACTAGAAATGACTGTCGCAGTTGATATATTTGGAAATTTTATCCAAAGCAGACCACGGCAAAATCCGTAGATCAACCAAAACAAAATTGTTTCTCACAGTAGGACGATAACCTGATGGGTTGACGTGGGCGGTCAACTTCACTAAGTCAATCGACCGCTGTGCGAACCGGTAGTTCGAATCGCAAGGCTGGACGATAAAATCTTTTCTCGATTCGGTTAATTACTGATTAAATATGCAATGTTGAGATATCCTATGTGCTGGGATATTCTAGTTCTGATGAATGCGTAAAAGTGGTATACGGTGAACGGTGAGAGATAGAGAGTAAGAATTGTGGAAAATTGACCAAAATACTTCAAATTGTTACAAAGTCACATTGTAATTGAAAGATACCAAATAATCAACCCTACCTTTGATTCTGAAGATATAAGTACGGAAATATCCGACAATTTCAAAATTTTATTTCAGCCTTATCTTCTTGATCTGCATCCTCTAGTTTTCCAGCAATTTTCTGATCATTGGAGTTCAAAAGGTATAGTGTTTACGAAGTATTCTTACTATCCTTCGGTAACATGATCAAATTACTTTTTCATCACGAACCAGTTCTAACTAACACCTTTACAAAATCTGTTTATATTACAAATCTTCAATATTTCCATAGGTTTATCAAAAGTACATACTTCAATATACAACATTATTCTTTGCGGCTTCCGCCGGGCTCATATTCTTCAACACCAGGAGTTGAACAGTATTGAAATATACGACTTTTTAATGGCAAGGAAGGAAATCATCTTTCCCAATTGAAAGATTATAAGCATAAAGTTCTAGGGCAAAATTGCATATTCCGTGAATTGATAATGAGAGTTTCTACAGGTTCTGAAGGACTGATATCTTTCATTTCGGTGAATTTTCGGAACAGTTTTCAAAATTTTTCAGACACTGTGCAGGCATCTGATTAAAAAAATAAATCCATCTACATGATGAAATCGATACCAGCTGAATTTTCAAAGCACCGATAGATATTTTCCAATGTTTGAAAATAGAATTGATAAACAAACAATCTGAGTAGAAAAATGTTCACCAAAATCAGATATTAAACTATTTCAAGATCATTTTATAACTGCTTCCTGTAGATTTAATGAAATTATTTTATTGGGATGCTTTCAAACACAATTTTGTGTTTATTACCATATTGTCACTTTAATGATAATTTTCCAACTATTTCATAGTATGGTATATTTACTACAATTCCAAAATAATAAAATAACTGTTATAAAATCAAATTGCTTCCGCTAATATATATTTGCTGTTGCTAAGTATAAAATGTAGCATTTCGAAATTCAGCCTTCATAATCGATGCAAGAAGCTTCTTAGCCAAAACATCTCGACAGATAATATTTATACAAACAATACGTGAGAAATCCTATCTTGATGTTAATAGAAATCTAGAGCTTCAAAAGTAGAGCGACTCTGCCGTAATACCATCACTTCTAGCACTATTTGTTTTTAACAGTTTTATAGGGGTAATATATAAGCTGAAATACGTTAAAACTCTTGCTATTGATAACAAATCATTTCATAGAACGACGCCATTTTAAAATGATAGCAATTCGGAATACTGGCATTAGATGCGTTGAAAATATGAAATACTGCACATATAGTGTTAGGAATCATACGTTAAAAGGTAAGACCTCGTTAGTCCTTAGCTCGCACAAGTTTCTCAACTTCTGAGAGTTGTCGTTCGTATGGGGGCGAAAGCTGATTACCGAAAAAATAGATTTTTTAAAACAGACAGAAATTACTCGCATCCACGTTAGGATGGAAGTGAAGGAATAAACTTATGAAATTTTAGTTCCTTAGGTTTTGCACTAGAAGAAACTTGGGGAAAATGGGAGGATGTACCCCTTGCTCTGTTATAGCATTTACCTATACTGAGCTTGCAGTTAATGTACAAGATTTTTTTTTCACATCTTGAAAGACAGTAATGCATATTTATTGGGTGGAAAATATTATAATCACACCCATATAATGATTACAATGTCAAAAATGAAAAGTTAATACATCTCACCTCATATCCGTATCTAATCATATCCAGTGGGTGAACCGGATCGTCTCCCTTCATCCTAGCTCCCACTAAGTCCCAGTTGGTGAAATTTCGGACGTAAAACACCAGTTCTGCAGGTGATATCTCTTCTAAACCAGGAAGAAGAAAATCAGCAGGAAAGGCGCTCATGAAAGTGATGTTGTGTCCTCGTGGAATCAGCCCTCTTGCCAATTCCCAGAAGGGAATTTTGTGAGATTTTGTCCCACCCATGGTTATCATGAGAATGTTTGCACAGGTACAAATATTTATCACAGCCAATGACGCCGTCACTATCGACAGGCGTTTTCCATACATCGTTTCTGAAATTCGTAAAATATCATTATAGGTCAGAGAGAAATCCACTTATTTCTTTTATTTCACAATGAGTAACAAAATTAGGCGTATAGACACGCCTGAAGAAGCTATTTTATAGCGAAACGCGTGATGGGTCCTTGTGAAACTGTGTAGTGAAAATCTCATAATGAAATGTTTCTTGAATACGTCGTGGATTTTCATCAAGAAATGGTCGATTGATCACATATAAAAATAATATCTATATGGTTCAATTGATATTATATTGTTTTCACTACCAGATGTTTCTGTTTTCAAAAAATTCAGAATAACAATCATTTGGAAAAAAGTCGTCAAAATCGGAGCTGTGCTTGTATCAAATCTGAGAAAATTAAAAAAAATGCTTGTACGATTGGCAAATTTATGTAGCAATCCTTTTTCTTTGGGTGTCAAATTTGGGGATATTTTTATATATTCGAATGTTTTTTTAAAACTAAAAATTAAAGAATGTTGTATGCAAGATGATTCATATAATGGATTTATTCCATATTCCACTCATCTTTTTGATTCATCATACAGATGAAAAAAAAAAGGTAGGTTCCACCGAGATTTGAACTCGGATCGCTGGATTCAAAGTCCAGAGTGCTAACCATTACACCATGGAACCTGTATGATGATTGCTGTCAAAATATCACACGCAGGGTACTATTTCTGATTATTTCAAATACCTACTCGAAAAGATTCCTAAAATGTAAAAAGTAATTAAATTAAGTAAGAAATGGTCGAACTTTTCTAATAATCATTCTGATTTGTTTAATGTTGATCTAGTATGAAAATGTTCTCGTCATTAAATTTGAAAATATTTTTATTGAAGTTTGGGGACTTCATTATGAATCTTAAAGAATATAAGCAATATATGCAAGTACTACCAACCTTTATGGATTCATATAGAGTTGAAAAGTATTAAAATATCGAATCGGTTAGTCGAAGAAGTGAAAATAATATCGAAAGAAGAAATGAACAATGATAATGACTATGAAAATATTACCTACAGGTACTTATATGATTTCTGAATAAAACCAAAATACCTTTCAATTGTCTTCTGAAATTAAATTAAATTTGTAGTATGAGTTAGAATGCATAGTAATTATCTACTTATCATCTTGACATGTGTCCAAAAACATTAATTTAATAAACACCTAAGTAGGTATATCAGATGAAGGAGTGAAGTGGATAATGAAATCACTGGAAATTAACCAACAATATTGTATCAGAAGACATCATAAAAATATAGGCCCATAGTTTTTTCCATAACTGATTTTAAGTAAAATCTTTTTTTAATTCAATTTAATTTTTCCAAATAGGCCAACGACTGAGCTGTGTTTTTCGAGATTGAGTTTATGATGACTTGTATTTTTATGGATTTATCATCATTTAAATAATATTTTTGATTCTCTTTGGTTCATAAATGTAAAAGAAAAACATTTATATTCTTTGTTTTCTATGGTTGATAAATGTAAAAGAAAACTTGGTATGAATCGGCCATGAAAATTGCTATGAAAGAAGCAAGTAAAACATCATCAGATATTGCCGCAGTCAAGAAATATGGAATGAAATATTACAAAGTCTTTTTGAAGAAGAGAGCGCACAATAAAATTAGTTAACCACTCTCTTCACCGAAGGTCATTCATATGAGCTTTCAGAATACCCACCTAAGTGTTTCTTATGGATTATATACTTTGGGACTCAGAAAAATCAACTAGCACTTATACAGGCTGATTCACGGTGGATGGCACATTAGACGTTTCTGGTGAACCAGACAACGGATCAAATGATTACAATGTCA